CCCCTGCCCCTGCCCCTCCTCCTGCCGCCGCACCTGGGCGAAACCGGCCGGGCCGGGCCGGCCCCGCTCCCGCGTCCCTGCCCCGAGACAGCCAAATATGGCCTTTTCCGGAGGGGCTAGGCGCGCCCGTGGAAAAGTCCCTCGAGGAAGGACGGAGGGGGATGGCGGGAGCGGGGACAGGGGCTGCCCGCGGGGGAGCGGCGCTTAGTCAGCGCGGGCGGGCGGGGAGCGGCGCCGCCGCGCTGCGGGGCGCCCGGCCCCGCGCTCGGGCGCTCCCCGCGCCGCTTCCACGCGCGGCAGCCGCGGGCAGCGGGCGATAAACGCGGAGCGAGCGCTTCGCCGCGGGCTGTGCGCGGGCCCGCCGGCCTCGTTGGCCCTCGTGATCCTCATAATGCCTCGGTAAACTGCTCGACAGACCCCCGAGCTGTGCYGCATCCCAGTACCTTGCAGGTATTCCTGCCGCCGCTTCATTCACGTATTTATTGTTCGTATCCTGCAAGGTGACCCGTGCAACTCCCCGTTAGGGCTCCTCACAAGAGCCGTCTCTGTGGCCGAAGGCTCCGCACACCCTCTCGCTCCCCTGGGAATCGCGGCCCGTCCTGCTGGAAAGGCGCAGGGCAGCGGCGCCACAGCCCGGCCCGGCTGCGCAGGAGGAAGCGCAGGAAAAGCCTGTCCCGGTGGCAAAATGGCCTCCCAGGTGGCAGCGCACTGAGCAGAAGGTCAGCTTGAAGAGGCCCTCAGTTCACGTCCCAAAAGTTGTTTTATTTGTATAGCTGCAGAAACAAAATGAGGAAAACAYACAGCTCTTTCTGGATTAGTAAATATGTTAGTGCCATGGAAAAGCAAGTTCCTTTTAGTAAAGGGCAAARCCAGGACAACATCCTTCTTAGGCTGTTCCTTGTGAAGTAAGTGGTGTTTCCAAAGAGTGCTCAAACTTCCTCTTACCAGTGCCTATACATTGCCCCTACAACAACAATACATTGTCTGTCCTTGCATCTTACATGTCGATGAAACTTTGTACAAAGCTCTCACGCGCAGGCTGGCGATCTGTGCAGGGTTGTCCGTGTGTGCGGCTGCCCTTGCACCTGCTCCTTTGTACGGACTGCTGGCTGCAGTGCCCTTCCAAAGTCAAATCCCTGAGGGATTAACAGACTGGCCTTGGGGTCYGTCCAGGTTAGGCCTGTGCAGCACTTACCTGCCTGATTCCTCATGCAGTTTGGGGTGGGTTATTAATTCACCTCTGGTCTAATTTGCAAAGGCTCTCAAAAAACCAGCCTAAGTTTAGCAAGGTATAAACTCASATGGACCCAAAGGACCCCGATAAGGACTTCCATGTCACTGCTGTGAAGTGATGGCATTCTTAATAAAGATGAACACAGTAGGCTCAGGTATGTCTGCCTGTTGTAAAGCTTATTTCCTAGCTTTATATCTATTGTTTTTTTTGCATTTTATCATTAATCAAATTGCTGTGGTACGTAAGCCTTGAAAATCATAAAATTACTTATGATGGCCTTTTGCCTTTGTGTTTTGTTTCTTTAAACATTGTCTATTTACAAGCACAGGAGAGGATGACTACATACCAGTTCTGCTGGCCATCTCCTTGCCCAGTAATAAAAATCCAAGCTTTATACTTCATTTGTGCAGTGTTTACCAATTTTAGTGGCTAATAAAGGTAATAGTGGTGCTTCTTTCACTTCCTATAAATACAAGTCTTTGTTTTTAGTATAAAAAAAAAAAAAACAGAAAAGAAGAAAACAAAGCACTTAGTTGAATGGACAGGGTATTTGTTTGGACTGAAGAAATTTTTTAAACTTGGTCTTTTGGTATGATACCTAACATGTTCCTTGAACTTCTAGGTATGAGCTGTAGAAAGCCCTACCATAACCACAGTGTGATTATAGGTGGAACATGTTGCTTTTTGAAATATGGCATTTAGTTTGTCTCTATTTACAGGAGCTAAAACAGAGCTCCTCACATACATTTACCCCAGCTTTCCCTATCAGAAGATCTGTTTACATATATGAGCATTGCTCACTACTGTAGGAATGGGAAGAGTCACCCTGCATGATGTCATGCCCCAAAACAGTAATGGAAATTAGAGACTGTTCCCACTCATATTAATTTTTCCAGATTATTTTGAGGAAAGTTTTATGTAGAACGAAAGCCATTGGGCAGACATCTGGTTAAAAGATAGAATAGCCCAAGTATTGAAATAACTTCACTACACAGATACCATAGGGGTYTAGGTCTAGGGGGCTGACGGGTAATGGCTTTTTTTTGTTCATTCTGCAATGACATACGTGCCTTTCTTCGGGAAATACATGACTTTACTTACTTAAGTACAAATTAACTTTCCCCAGTGTACAGCTTCAAAGGCAAGGCTTTACTTACTAGTTATAATGGGATAAGTTTATCAACTTTTGGAGATACGTCCTCTTATCAAATAAGTTAATGCTGATTAGGCAGTACAGTGCAGACCAAATGTGGTTTACATTTTAGATAATGTGATTGTTATGTTTAAATTATTATTTATCCTAGAGAAGAAGACGAAAAAAAAAAGTTTAGATCACCAGCCTGTACGGCATATGGAGAATTCAGCAGGCTCCTGTCATCTGGTCATCTGCATTTTTGAATTTTTGCACTTTAATTTACATGTGCCCCAGAGCTGTTCTGAGCATAAAGTTCGGTTCACTAAAGCAAAGGCCACTGAAGTCAGTGGGAGATTTTCCCTTGAGAGCCGCGGAGTGCGGCTCAGATCTAAGGAGACACATCCCGCTCTTTACTCTTTCAGAGGCCATTGGGAGCACTGGAGTGTTAATGGCACCTGGCCTGCGGCTCCGCTCTTTACGAGGAGGTAATTTCCAGGTGTTCAGGGGAACTTGGTAAATGGGCTTGTGATATTACAGAGAGGCAGGAAAAAAAAAAAAGGACAAAATCGACTTTCAGGTAAAGTTGCAGGGGAGTATGAGTCATCCCTTAAGTATCAGGAAATGATGCTAGGTGGGGCTGTCGCAGCCTCAGATTGAATAGATGAGCAGAGGGAGTATGATTAGTTCAACTGGAGTGCTGGCAATCCAACTTGATTTGAGGTTTTTCACAGGCTCCAGACCTGATCAGTTTGGGGTGTACTCTTGTAAAGATAACCAAAGGCTCATCCCTAAAAAATGGCTAGCTACTATGCCAGATTTCAAAACAGTAGTACTATTGTTTTCCTAAAAAAAAAAAAAAAAAAAAAATCACAGTGAATTATAAGAGGTTATGGTGGTAGAAGTTATAAACAAGCAGAAATAGCTTTATGCTCAAAAGTGTCAAAAGGTTATGTCAGTAGACACTGATATGTATAAATATACAGTCTGTATTATGAATGAGCTCAGGAACGTTACTAGGTGTTTGTCTCTTGTTGCTGCTTATATACTTTATACAGAAAAGCCTTG